TATCTATCTATCTATCTATCTATCTATCTATCCATCCATCCATCCATCCACCCACCCATCCATCCATAAACCCAAATCACCAAAATAAACCTCTCTCTCCCACTTCCTTCTCTCTCTCTCTCTCTCTCTCTCTCTCTCTCTCTCTCTCTTTTAATTTTAAATTTTAATTTTAATTTTAAATTATCTAAGATTTGCTGTAGTACTTCAATCATTATAGTTACAAATTAATTCCTTTTCATGTACCGAACTTGAAGATATTTTTGGCGTATTGGTCCGCCATATTGAATACCGTGTAATTTGTTTTAGACTGGCCGGTACCCGCTCCCACCTCGATTACTCGATTCCCACACAGAAATAGAATAGAACTTCTATTCTATTTCTGTGGATTCCCATCGAGTAACTAAGCCGAGAGGGGAGCGAGTACCAGTCTATTCATGTTGAAGTCGGCTAATTATGTGATTACTTAAATATGTACTTAAATCGCTTTGTGAAACAGATTTTTGAGTATGATTAACTAATCATAATTACGGGAAGTTAAATATGATTAGTGATTTAATCATACTTAAGTTAAGTACGCTTCGTGAAACCGGCCCCAGGTGCTCAACTGATCATGCGCTTTTCTCTGCGTTAATGAAAATGTGTTGTTTACGCCGATCACAATCGTTTTCACGTACCAGAAAAATATTGCCAGGGCAACGTGGCAATACGTGGACTACACCTACAAAGCTAATAATGTTCTTAGATAGAGGAATGATATGATATATCAGGGCAAGCATGCACAGGGAAAAACGATCAGTGCGTTTTTAATCTTCAAGGCCAAGATGTTTACACATTTTTATAGTACGCATGCACGCGCACACACACACACACACACACACACACACACACACACACACACACACACACACACACACACGCACACACACACACACACACACCACACACACACACCTGACGCAACAGATAGATCTCTGTTATTTCACACCTCATAGTAGCTCACATCTGTCATTCCCCTACTCGTGATAACATGAAATACCCAAGGTATAGAGGCATAGGCGAGCATGGTTGCATATCTTTCAGGAGTAGATAATAGGGATCCCTATTATCTACTCCTGATGTCTTTATCACCCGTTTCCTGCCTCTGGTCATACAGAATCGCCCCCAAATTTGCTTCATAGGGGTATTAACAAAATGACACTATATACGTACAGCCGTTATAAGATGCTGGTCCATCGGAAATTAGTTTTTGTCCGTAAACAACTTCCTATAGATATCTTGTTGTACCTAAGACTCGATATACATTTATCGGTAGGAAATAATACCGCCATTATTTCAGTGACCACATCATATACCAGCTTGCGTCAGCTATATAGACTCAAACGACGAGTTCAGAAACAGAGCCCATGCATGCAGATAAAGCAGATAGAGGGAACACCATAAAGCTGCCAACGGCTAATGTTGATTCACGGGCGCACGCACAGCTCCGCTTTTACTAGCAATATATTGATCAAGTCTGATACGCCTCCACAGTTTCCCGCGCGACGCCTGAAAACAACTACGAGGCGCGTAATTAATTGCGAATAGAGTGTGAAATCATGCAATTACCTTCTGCTTTGATCCCCACAGTATACACTATAGGTAATCCTGATCGTGCACGTATTCAAGCTTCCCTAAGCTTTACAGCTCGTGTATATTCTATCAGCGCTACACAAGCGGTGTGAGGGCATAGATGCGCGTGTGAACCGTACACACCCATATATCAACACGGAGCCCGAGGTGTGGTGAGGGCAACCAATCAGAACACTGTATATCAGCTCAATAATCCTCTAGCGTAAATCCTACCCGAACCCGCGAAAGCTATCGATGATACATCGTGGCGCCGTCGTGCGGGAAGTTATGCTGGCTAATGTACGAAAGGCATTCCTTAGTGTCGAGCGATATTATGGAAATAATATCAGAAGTGTATAGTATAGTCTATAATTATTATACAATCTTGATAATATACTAGTTAGGATACTCGTGCATTTATCATCTTTAATAAACCTCTACGGCAGCAAGTTTTCCAAGTTTATGAATATTTATAACAGATAAAATTGTTCATGAATTAGTAATCGATGGATTTATTATGATCAGTGATTAATGCAATTACCATGTTAATCAGACGATAAATAAATTATAACCACCAAGACAATCAAAATTATACTAAATGCTTTACTTAACGTGGATTAACTAATCTAAAACCCCATTAGTGGCGACATCTTATTAATTACGGTGTTTGATGTGGATTTTAAAATCACAGCTAGATTATGTAATTAGAGGATGTTTACATAACGCGCGTGTATTTAATTACAATTTAGATTAATTATTATCTCAATATATTTTCAGCTATTTACATCACAATACATTTCAATACATTACATTACATTACATTACATTTGATTACATTACATTATAATACGTTACGTTACGTCACGTTACGTTACATTACTATAAAGAGCTTATAATACCTATAATAAGTGTTATAAGGTATTAGAAGCCGTTGCTACTATATGTAGTTGGCATTTGTTAATAGTGATTCTAAGACAACTACCCCCGGACAACTACCACGCGGACAATTACACCCCCCCCCCCTAGGACAACTATCACCAGGGGACAACTGCCAGCCCTGGACAACTGCCAGCCGGAAAACTACCCCCTAGGACAATAATATTACCCCCTAGGACAACTGCCACCCGGACAACTACCTCTCTAGGACATTTTCTATTTAGTTTCTATTTCCGTGCGCGGCCACAAGTTTCTACCTACCTACCTACCTATATCTATCTATCTATCTATCTATCTATCTATCTATCTATCTATCTATCTATCTATCTATCTATCT